TCCTCTTTATCTTTATAAATTTCAGCTGTTACGCACGACATCGGTCGCGTCCCGTCGTCATGCAGACGAAGTCGAGGGAACAGCTAGTATATGTGTTGCCAATATGTGGAAGGCTGTCCAATAAAAATGTTACCTAGGTTGAGTTACTTTATTAAATAATTTTAAAGTTAAAACTCGGTAGTAAAAACAAAATCTGTTGCGAACTCCTATTACGATACAGGAAGACAGGCAAGCATGTTGTTCACATGATGAAGGGAACCTATATTGTCAGACGGACAGAAACCGAAAGTCGACTTAACTCGATTTGTGGTTGCTACCGTAAATACATTGCTACTGTTAGGCCTCTTTTAATGTCAAAATTAGACTTGGACTTTGAAAACATTAATATTGTTTGTTTAGCGTTCCGCACCCAAAGAGTAAAAACGGAGAGTAGAAACGGACGGACAAGAGGGTAATTCCGGTCAGTGTTAAAAAGAATTCAAATAATATATTTGGCTATTTTTATGTAAACTACCGTTCATACGTTTGAAATCACATTTTTACATAAAAAAGGTATTAAGTCCTCATTAAAACATAGGTCTATTTAATTTACATTAATTTTTAGACAACTCTTTTGTTATAGATATATATAATACTAGGGCTGTTACTTCGATCTTGGACTAATTATTTATTTATAATATTTTATTTGGAGATGTAATTATAGTATCTTTTTTCTACTTTGCTCTTTATACAATACAGATACATCATACCTTTTTTCTAATTGCCTTTTTATTGCATAAAACCGACCAGCGCCGGCGCATATCTGTCTTGTATCCTTGTCCTTAAACTTGCTTCGTCGTTTAGGTGTAACACTCGTGTCTAACATATTATAAAATATATTTGAATGGTTTTTGAGAGCTATGTGTAAATTGTTAACTGTGATTATCTGTGGTTGAAAAGTGACTGTTTTTCGTTGTAGAAGTGCTTAGAAGTGCTAAGGTAAGATGACAATTCAGTACTTATAAGTGTCAAAGTCTTCAAGTTGTCAAGTTCTTTCAAAAAAGATTACTATGATTTTTTAAACTGTTTTTCCCGGGGGGTTAGGCGGTTCTTGTGGATATAGGTAACAAACATTTCACATAAATACACGCAAACAAAGTAAATTATAAAGTAAAAGTCAATTTACATTTCAAAAATTTTCACTACACGGGCTGGACTTGAACCGGCATCTACGGCGTTCCATTCACACACCGAAACGCGATTCATATACATGGTTTTTTAATCTGCTGGGCGGTGTTTCGATATGAAATTTCGACATCCCTACCAGTTTTAAATTCATACGTGTTAGACTGAGTGATTAGTACAACGGTTGATTGGTCAAATTTAAAACCAGTGATTGTGAGTTCGATTTCCAAAATGTCCAACATGTTGCAGAACATTATAAATTAATTTAAAAATGTTGGACCTGATGGCGATCGAACCCACGGCCCGTTGAGTGTTAGCGATAAGATACTACCATTACACCAAGGAACCAGAAATCTTAATAATTAAACAATTGACGGTAGAATCTTGGAGCTTTTGATTATTCAAGGTATCTGAGGCCGCTGGAGGCAGAGCAGCCTAACTGCAATGTTAATGACTTGAGTTATTTATATTTTCATAGTCTAAAAATGTTAATTTACAAGAGCATAGTGACGGAAAAGTGTTAACATAATTTTTACACAAATAATAGTTACATTCATTTTCGTATAATTTTATTGGGCACTTTTATTTTCCTCCTTATTGAAAGTCATATATTTTGTTATTAGGCCACTCTGCCTCTAGAAAACTCATATATACTTAACATGCCTCGTGTCTAAAACGAATAGCAAACACTTCTCTAGAACCTATATTGGAAACTGTGTCTATGTCATACATATTATATAATTCTGTGTCAAGTAGCCTTTTAGAGTCTTAATGCTAATTTAAGATAAACTTAGTGCATAGAGCCTTGTAACTTCAATTGATTCGTGTCAATATTAACCCAATTAATCTTTTATATTCGATATACTAGCTTTGTAAGCTAGACTTCTTCTTCTTCTTCTTCCGCTTCTTCTTCTTCCGCGTAGAGTACGAGAGAGGCTTCATTTTTTTTTTGCAAATTTCCTCTTTATCTTTATAAATTTCAGCTGTTACGCACGACATCGGTCGCGTCCCGTCGTCATGCAGACGAAGTCGAGGGAACAGCTAGTATATGTGTTGCCAATATGTGGAAGGCTGTCCAATAAAAATGTTACCTAGGTTGAGTTACTTTATTAAATAATTTTAAAGTTAAAACTCGGTAGTAAAAACAAAATCTGTTGCGAACTCCTATTACGATACAGGAAGACAGGCAAGCATGTTGTTCACATGATGGAAGGGAACCTATATTGTCAGACGGACAGAAACCGAAAGTCGACTTAACTCGATTTGTGGTTGCTACCGTACTACGTTGGCCTCTTTTAATGTCAAAATTAGACTTGAACTTTGAAAACATTAATATTTTTTTTTTTGCACATGAAGGCACTATATAATTTAAAAATCGAAAATAAATTGAGCTATCGAGTCGAAGTGACTCGGTAGCTCAATTGGTAGAGCAATGGAAAGCTGACGATGCCGGTTCAAGTCCTGCCCGAGTCGAAAATTTTTTTTATTTATTTTCGATTTTTAAATTAGACTTGAACTTATTTAACTGAAGTGGACTGCCGATAAATAAACTTTAAAAAAATGTGTGCGAGATCACAATCGTTAGGAATCGAAAACGTTGAAACGTTTGATCAGATTGTTGAGGTTTGAGGCAAGTCATTTTCAATAATTCAAATACATTCCTATTTTGTTAACGTGTATTAGATATAGTGTCTTATGAAACATTTCTATTGGCTAAATAAATAAGTTAACTTATTTACAGATTTATTTTAACTTTATCCCCCATGACCACGGCTCTTGCAAACCATCTGTAATGTCGAGCTGTAGGTTAAAAAAATTGTAGTGTATGAAGTATATTTCGCGTTTTAAACTGTTGAAGGCGTTTTATTTAAACGTGAAACTTCAGGCGACGCGGTTAGTTTGAAATATTTTGTCTTTTTTTGTAACGCACATAATGTTTTAAAGTGATTTGTGTATGGTTTAATTTATTAATCACAGATGACATTTACTAATAGTACTAACTAACAAAATAACTTCATATTAATGAAGAAATCAAATGACGTCAAATGATATACGGAATTGTGAACACGGAAGTTTGAAAATCATTATTTCAAACATAGCTTATAACATATCAATTTGTAAAGTAAGTTTTTGTGGTACAATATTCGATTCCTTGTAAAAAAGATATATCATTAATATGCAAATGCCTGAGCTACGATAAGTATAAGTGTGATTTATGATTGGTTTCTGTAATGTTAGACTTCCTTAAGAAAAACTAAGGAATAATTAAGAGAAAATATATTGCAAAAGTTAGCGTATTTTTTGCCCGAATTTAACATATTCTCTATTATAATATAATATAAGTTACAGGTAAAAACGAAGTCTAAGGCGGATGCTTTGCAGCAGCCGTGGTCACGGGGGTACTAAAGATGAATTGTTTCCCTAATATCAAAGCAAATTCTGCTACGTTAGTTAGTTGATATTTAGAGAAACTAGCTGGGTCTCTCGGTACGCCGTTTTTTGGGACCTGCTTTAAAACAGTTAACAGTGCAGTACAATATATTTACCCAAATATTGTTAATGATTACAGTCACATGATTAGAAAATTTATTAATACCTTTTCAAATCAATCTTGTAGCATAACCGTGCAGCAATTTATGCTGAAGCAAGACCCTTGGTATCGCTGTTTTTTTTTTTTAAATTGAATCTTTTTATTTAAATAAAACACTTTAACGGTTTAAGACGCGATATATTAGTTAAACTTATTTGAAAATGATTTTTAACTTCAGCCCGACGTTTCGGATGCTTTGCAGCAGCCGTGGTCACGGGGAGACCACGTAGTCTCAAGTTTAACTAATATATCGCGTTTTAAACCGTTAAAATGTTTTATTTTAAATATTTTATATTAATTATGTTTTTATTGTAATTATTTTATTTGCTTATGTTCTTTGCAATGCAATGAATGCCAAATATAATCTATAGTCAGTAATTTGATACTTTGAAGGCCCATACCCATCCTAACGCTGACCGCACCTTCGCCGGCTTAACCTCAACACAGTAACCGGTAGACGAGTAGAGTAAGGCCGGAGTCTAGATCTCAATGCTGATGATTGAGCGTGATTTAGTCCGATTATTTCGTAACTACGTACATTAAACGTAAATAACTGAATTACAACGGTCAATGGTTCTTTTAGGATAATAAAGAGAAATTACAAAGGAGTTGTTTTGAATTTGACTATACGAATTTATCCGGAAATACTACTTTTAGTCGTAGGTGCTATCCTATAAATGCTATAGATAATAAGATAATAAATGTAGCTAAACTACTTCGTATAATACCAACGAAAATCCCATCAAAATTAGTTTAACCGTTTGTGCCTAGACAACTTTGAAAAACAGACATGGCGGATGATATTAGTCTTCAAGCTTGTATTTAATAAAATACTAATTATTAATTATATAATAATAATTATTAGATTATTCAAGTATATAATTAACGCGAATATAATAAATAACATATTTTTTACGGTTTAAAACTCGATATTAGTCAAATCATGTTTCGTATGCTTTTTTCAGTTATTTTGGGCATCAAAGATAGTTTTTAAAACTCATTTTTTTGCATAGAGTTTATTTTGTAAGATTGTTTCATTACTATAGGTAACTAGCCGCAACGAGTTATTAGGGGGTAAAAGAGTGCGCCCACGCATGATTAATTAATTTTCTTAGTTAATAAGATGCATTTGCATGTCTTTTTTCGCATCAAGTATTGATTAAATAATTATAAATAAAAAATAATTGATGGCCGTGAAAGCCTTACGCAATTTATTAATTTACAATTTGACTTTCAGGATACAACCATGCTTCTGCTGGTACTGATGACCATCATTACCTCATCATTGACAAATGCCTTCGATCCTAAACCTGATATTGGACTGCCATCAGGTTTAGTTCCTGACTGTAAGTTTAAATTAACCTTAATTATTCTTATATTAGTATGATATATCATTACGCAGTAAAATAAAAAAAAAGATATATATTACGCGTTTTAAATCACTTAACAGTGTTTTATTAAAATTGTGTTTACAAGTTATAAATTCACGAAGCTTATAATTGTGTTACTATTTGTTAAGATTATTTTAAATATGAATTTTCACTGATTGGAACGTAGAGTTACTAAGAATTAAGTTTTGCAATATAGGAGTACACATTGAAATAAAATATTTAACGGTTTAAAACGCGATATATTTTAGTTAAACTTGTTTGAAAAGTTTAAATTTAATTTAAAAATTTCGTTTAAAATAAATTTGAAAAAATTTTCGACTCGCGTAACGCAGGAGTACTTGGAACCGGCTTATCGTTAAAAATATATTATTAAGACTTTCAATGCTGTTGACTCTAACAAATTTTCGATAGCTACCGAAGTCCTACACCTCAGTCGTAATTCTCAAAATTTTTTAAACTTATCGATACATGCACCCTCGCGCAAGGTAATTTCTACCTTAACAATTGCGTATTAAACTGGCTCAATGTCTTATGCTTTGCAGCTTAAGAAATCATTGAAGATGAAATTACAAAGTTATAACGTTTGAAAACATTAATATTTTTCACATGTTATTGCATATGAAGGCACTATATAATTTAAAAATCGAAAATAAATTGAAAAAAATTTTCGACTCGGGCAGGACTTGAACCGGCATCGTCAGCTTTCCGTGCTGTTGCTCTACCAATTGAGCTACCGAGTCCTACACCTCATCGTCAATATTTTTCAACTTATCGATACACATGCCTTGTCTCGCGCAATGTAATTTCTACCTTAACACTTGCCTTGTTGCCTTGAGACCACGGCTGTTGCAAAAGATTCGAAACGTCGGGCCGAAGTTAAAAATCATTTCCAAATAAGTTTAACTAAAATATCGCGTTTTAAACCGTTAAAGTGTTTTATTTAAATTGTTAAGTGTTTCAGTTCCAAAGTCTATAAATCTTCGGATTAGTTGTTTCTAGTGGGCACATTACATTTTTTACTTTTTGCAACATGCATGAATGCTATTGCGTTAAGAGCGAGAAGTCCTTTGTTCACAACCCGGGGAAATATTATTAATTAAGTAAGATGTTATTGCGTCGGCTATTTATAGTTTTGTTAAGATTTTATTATAAACTACCCGCGTGATGAGTAGTAATAATGTATATACTTTATTAATAAATTTCTCATATAAGTGATTCTTGTAATCTTAGTGGGAAATAAATGTCTTTAAACCGAAGCTAACTATGACGCCGTTGGATCGATTGTATTTAAATCACATTTATTAATAAAGCATAATAAAAATCTGTCTGCCCCATACCTCTATATATATATATATTATTCTCCAATATACTTATGGTTTATTTCACTCCCAACGTATTTTCCGATAACATCAATAATTTCCGAACATACTTTATAAACATATGATAATATTCCGTAGTCTTGATTATAAACGACATTGAAATGAATTCTATTCTAAGACAAAGATTATAGGATAAGAATAATTAGAGGTTTTTCCATGTTGGATACATGGATAATTGCATATTTTTTTACAAACATTCGAGGTAAGAAACAGATATAAGACTAAAATAAAAGCCTATAAAAATTGTACTGGACTATAAATTAAAAACAGTAAAAACACTTGTATCATGTTAATAGGTTAATAGCAAACGGAAGTAGGTATCCTTACTTGCATTATTCATAAGGTCGTTTATACACGAGCGATTATGCAACAAATGCAAATAATATTAAGTGCACAAGTATGGTAATTTATTTTGTCCGTCTTCCCAACTGATTAATTAAACGATTGTTGTGTACGTTAATGTTTTCTTTGATTAACGGCCCTTGGAAATAATGTGTTGGCGGCAACATCCCCAAGGTTGTGAGTTTAATACACGTTCACAAAAGCACTTTTGAATATTGTAGAGGGAATCCTAAGACTACTGTTATATTGTACAGTATATTTTTTCTAACTTGGCAAAAGACCACAACAAATATGGCGAATTCTAACCATAGAGAGTTAGTAATGACCTGTTATAGAATAAAGTAGTTGTCATAGATAGCACGAGGATAAAGAAACATCGATTATATATGGACCAAACGGTCTCAATATTTTAAATGACTACGTTTTTTTAATATGTCATTATTATATATTTAACTCGACGTTTGTAACGCTTCTCAGCGATCGTGCATGAGTGGGACTTCAACCCTCTTGTTTTTGTTTTTTTTTTTTTTTTTTTTTTTGTTTTTTTTTTTTTTTTTTTTTTTTTTTTTTTTTTTTTTTTTTTTTTTTTTTTTTTTTTTTTTATGAGAAAATTCAATCGGAAATTGTGTTTGTTTACCAAAAATGACAAGTTAGAAAAAACACAAAGAAAAGCTAAGACGTTCATTTCTCCAAAATAGATTATATACTCAAAAAAGGCCCAAGTACATACGCAGCTTCTTTTGAAAACGTCGAGCTCACGATGAAATTTTCATATTCGTATACCATGTAGATTTTCCAGACGTAGTCTATTTATGAAAAAGATTATAAATATATTTGAACCATGCCAATTAAGATAACTGTTACGGATGATTATAAAGACAATGCCATTAAACTATGCTTCATTGATATTATAAATATGCATGTGCACAAACAATTAACTTACCACTTACTATTAAATGTTTTAATATCATATTATAAACTAGCTTCCCTGTAAACTGGTTTGGTTGTTAATTATTACTTGGGAAATTCTATGCAAGATAAAGCTTAATTTAATAATATAAGGAAGTGTATTCCAATGAACGACGCAAAAACGATAACATATGACAATAAAAATGTAGGGTTGTATGTATTTTTAATGCAAAAACACTTAAGGTATGGACAATTAACGCGTTAACATAAACAAACTCTTCAGCTTTTGTAATATTAGTATAAATAATTCTATGCTTGATCGCCTAATTCACAGACATAGTTCTGTGACCTGACCGACCGAAATACGCTAACGAAATAAGATGCTACAAAAGTAGAAAAAAGTACACTGGTAGTGTAGCTTTATGGTAGTCGCCGGTGGTTCGTGTGTCAAAAGTGAAATCTTATTTCCCGACTTGGGGCATGGGGAGAACACCTATGTCCGTTTAATAGTTGATTAGACTTTCGTATATAGTCTTTCGTTTACGCGAGTAGTATGTAGACCGTATTTAATTAAATAAATCTGAAACGTCGGGCCGTAGTTAAAAAAAATGTATTAAAATTTAACAATTATTTTTTGCGTTTTAAGCCATTAAGGTGTTTTATTTGAATGCAGACATCTAAACTCTGCTTAACCAAAACAATTTATTATTTCCCTACGATTCAAACCAGGACCTCTCGCGCTGCTTAACAAAGGCGGTAAAAAGTCGTCGGTCACTCGTGAGTGCAAACCCTTAATTAGCAACGCACTAATCTAGTTTAGCTAGGACACTTCTAGTTGCGGCGTAGGAAATAAAATGCAGTAATTGTACATTGTGCTAATTACATAGATCTTGTTCTAACTACATGTTGTAGACTTCGACAATGCCAGTACAATAACAAATTATAATTATTATTGTGGAATTTACTAAGAACGAGGAACGTGGAATTGCTTGACAAGTAAATTGAAATGGTTATAATATATATTTATAGTTAATATAAGATTATATAATATATAATCTTCTCATAATGCACGAGACTGCTATGAATACACAAACATGTTTTTTATGACAGACATACAAATGAACATTGTAACACCTTTAAATAAAACACTTTAGCGGTTTAAAACGCGATATATTAGTGAAACTTATTTGAAAATTATTTTTAACTTCCGCCCGACGTTTCGGATGCTTTGCAGCAGCCGTGGTCACGGGGAGACTACGTCGGGCCGAAGTTAAAAATCATTTTCAAATAAGTTTAACTAATATAAAGTTAAAGTGTTCTATTAAAATGTGTACTACTCTCGTAAACTCGATGGTATTTAATTGTAACACCTCTTCAAGTACACGTTCCCAATGGCTCTGCTGTGGGGGGACACAGAACTGTCCCAAAACTGCACCGCGTAAAACCCCATCTTCTTATCTAAATCTATTTTTTTGTTTATAGAAAGAGATAGACAAGCACGTGTTTCACTTGATGGAAGGTGAAATATGCCAACCATATAACGTCTTGACAAGATGCGCTGTTGGCCTATTTTTTTTAGCTTTGGATATTCGGAATTCCACAGACTGAAACCGAAACACAATTAAACTTGACGGCTTTGTTTAATATTACTTACATTGTACATTTTTTTTTTTGTAAAAATACAAAATGGCTTCCTTCCAGGTCCTGGCGCAATCAAGAATGCGACAATAAGAGACACGTCTCTACCCTACCTCCAGGTTACTGTGCAGAGGTTGACAAATAAGGGCGTTTACACACGCAGCTTGCCCATCGCAACCGCTCATAAGAGCATACTGAGCGATAAGCATTTCGGTAAGAACAGCTTATTATTAATTAGTACATCATTATCTGGTACCGTATTATAGAGGTTTATTGGTTCGAGGCCCGTTTGAGTTAAATTTTTAGTATATTCATAGATCTTTGTGTGTCCAAATTGTTAGCCGCGATATAAATTAGTTCTGCTGCAGAGCATCTGAAACAAGGTGAAATACATCAGATATATAACAATTTGACAAGATGCGCTATCGACCTATTTTAGGCTATTATAATAATATATATATAGAAGAAAAAGGCGTGATGTTTAATCTCGTTTCGATTTGGGGAATTCCAATATCCAAAACTCAAAATAGCCAACAGATGCTATATAGATGGTGTATAATGTAGTGAACCCCGTGTTTGTCTGTCTATTGCTATCATAAAAAAATATTATTTTTAGATCTAAATAAGAAGACGGTGTTTTATGCGGTGGGGTTTTGGGACAGTTCTGTGTTCCCCCCACAGCAGAGCCATCGGGAACGTGTACTCGAAGAGGGGTTACAATGTTCTGGTGACGGAGACGTTCCACTTCCTCACATATATTTATCCAAAGTAAGTATGTCTTAATTGTCTTTGTGGAAAAGGGGGTATCGAGATATTGGTTAAGTGGTTAGCAGATTATGTGGAAATCCCGGCTTTTTATTGGGGGAATAGAAAACAATAATAATAACTGCCGTAGTTGTTACCTGGCCAGTTTCACCAAATGCCAACTACGTCGGAACAGATGGCGCTAGTGAAGCAGTTGTATACATTGATATTAGAGACACCCTCCATCTTTAGTCTCCCCGTGACCTCGTCTGCTGCAAAGCATGCAAAACGTCGGGCCGTAGTTAAAATAATGGTAAGGTTCATATATTACTATTATTATACATATATTAGCTATTTTGAATCTATTTATTATCTATTGCCTAACGTTTCGGATGCTTTGTAGCAGCCGTGGTGACGGGGGGAATAAGGATGAGGGTGTCTCTAATGTCAAAGTCAAATCTGTTACAATAGCGCCATCTGTGTGTATTTAACTAGAAGTAAGCCTGCTTAGTCAGGAATGCACAGAAGTCAATTTTTTAGCATCTTAGTATGAAGATAAAAAAGACAATAGTAGTAACGGTAACAAGGCATATTTTTCGAAGCAACATTATTTTTACAAATCATTAGTGATTACTTGTTGACAAGTATGATGTCATAATCGCACACACAAATGGAAATCTCGAATCAGCAGCACGTTATCATCCAATTGATCACGAATTTAATTGTACATCAAGCTCAATAAAAACGCAATCCTTGACCTACAAAATACCTTGAAGGCTTACGATTTAAGGAAATATTAACAAAGGCGCAATTTTAAAATGCGTTGACAGCACAATTAATTGTTTTGGTCGAGTAGGGCGCAAAACGATCAGTACTATAATGGATTTGTGTCCTTCGAATTAATCTGTCTTTCTGGGTCTAATATAATTTATCAGTATTTTATAGGTACTTGCGTCTGTACCTGCTAACCGAAATAATAAAGAAATAAATTTGTCCGTAGTTTACGCTAGCACATTTAAAAAACTACATTTAAAAAAATCAACTTAACTTGTTTTAATTTATAATCTGTACTAATATTATATAGAAGAATGATTTGTATTTAGGTGTGTATGTTTGTAATAAAAAATCTCAAAAACAATGCTACTGCGCCTAACATAGGCTAAATATATTGCAAGAAAATTTAAATTAAAACGTTTTTTGTCGCATGCGCTGAGGAAACTGTTGTTTATAGAACAAAACAATGTTTGTATTACAATTTTGCAGAACATACAATTGTCAATAAAAAAAACTCCACAAGAAGTATTTAAGCGGTAGGATTTGAAAGTGTAAGCTTCAAAATCAAAGGCCTTTGCTAAAATTGAGTGTGGTAATTCCCCAATTACAAGATCATGTTGCTTTGATTGTCTCTCATACGTAATTGATGTTAACACGGTTATCCCTGGGTAATTGGGGCCTAAGACGCGATGTAATTATAAGCCCAATTTGATTTACCCAGATTTCATAGTAAAGTGGAGAGAGCGATTAGCAGAAGTCTGTTTCAAATAAAAGTGCAACTCCGATATATATACACTAATATTATATGTATAGTTAAAGAGTCTGTATGTTCGTTGGGGCGAACACAATTCTATGTCCGTTTCACTGATCCGTTCTTATAACGGGCAAGTTGTTGATCAGACTTCTGTTCCCTGCCTGACCGAAACAATTGTATGTTTCCCTGGGATTCGAACCTAGGACCTCTCGCGCTTAACGCAAACTACCGTTTACCCGTTTGGCTACAGAGGCGGTGATTTTACTTTACTTGCTGTGAAAATAGTACCACGAACGCATCTACATAGTAAAGCACACCTATTAATGCAATAAAATATTAGCTTACTACATTGACTCTACTAATTAACTATGACGCTAATTGGCTTGTGAGTGCAATAAACTTTTATGATTTAATAGTGCATTCATATGTTTGAATTCAATATAGCTTTTAACATGGTTCGTGTGCCTTGTTATTACTATTTATTACGGAAGTATTAACGTACTCAGTTATAAATAAAAGGCGGCCTTATCGCTAAGCAACGATCTCTTCTAGACAATCTGAAGTACAGGAGAAAAGAAATAAAAAAGGGGTTTATTAAGTAAGGCGTAAGGAATAAAAAGTAAAAGTGCTTCGTAGAAGTATACACAGCAAGTAAGAGAGAAGAAAAACGATTATTACAATTTACGAATGCTTTGCAGCAACCGTGGTCACGGGGAGACTAAAAATGGAAGATGTCTTTGACGTCATAGTAAAAATTGCTATGCTAGCGCCATCAGTTCGTAGTTTAATTTTCAAACAAGTTTAACTAAAATATATCGCGTTTTAAACTGTTAAAGTGTTTTATTGTAATACAGGTATTGTTTTATAGATATCCGTTACAGTAAAAGTTGCTAGTTTTATGTTCTGGCCACGGTATTCAGCATTTTCTTATAACAGAAGGATAGACAAGTAAGTCATATAATACCCTGAACATGATGCGTTGTCACTATATTGACTTTTAAAATTACTATATTTTACGTAAAAATCCATATTCATTATAATATTAGTAAAAAAGTGCTTCTGTAGTTTACGCTAGTAGTACACATTTAAATAAAATACTTTTAACAATAAATATTTCTCGTTTTTAACCGTTAAAAGTGTTTTATTTAAATATTAAGCAGTGCAATTTTTGAAAATATGATTGTAAGTTTTTGGCGCAGAATTCAAACCGTCATACATAGTGGTGATAGTAACAAAAATTGAGCAGCTTCCTTTGTCTGCACATCCAGCAGAATCCATGTATCATGCAGCTATGGAAAATTTCCATGTTGATCGGTGTTTATTGGTGAAAGGCGATAAACAATTCGGAAACAATGCCTTTGTTACAAGTAATACACAGCGTGAATGTTTATTTTTTACTTCGGGATTTGTACTGACAATTGATGGACCATTTTTACGAGTAAATCTATACTTATGTACAAAAACAAAGAGTTTGTTTGTTTGTTTGAACGAGCCAATCTCAAAAATCACTGGTTCGAATTTAATTATTTTTGCGTTGGTTAGAAATGTTAGGAAGGCTATAGGCTATAAAACATTGCGCTGCGACTATTAGGAGCAAAGAAATAGCGGGAAATGTGAAAAAAACGGGGAAAGTTATTCACGGGTTTTCGTTACATACGCTGCGCAAAAGGTTCGAGATTCCTCAAAAATATTTATTAAATAATATATTCTCTTTAAATTATTAAGAAAAATATCCAAAACAGTATAATATGTCTATCTCTTAAAATTTACTTGCAAGAACGATGCTCGGACGACGTAGTTGGTACCAGTTTAATAAAGTTGAAAAGAAAAAAAAATAGACGCCAAAAATAACTATTCTACGCGGACGAAGTCACAAACACAGCTAGTATTATATTAATTACTGGTTTTACTGCGGCCACGGCTGCTTTAAATGTGTTTAAAAAAAAGTGTTTACTGTTTCCGTACCATACTCAAATGAATTAATAATTTCATTTAATTACTTTAAGAAATATATTCGCATACATTGTAATGTATGCGAAGATTACGGCCAATCTTGTCAGAATCTAGTTTTACGAGCATTTAATAAAATTGCTGCCAGATGTTATTTAGAGTAAACGTAGACAGGGCAGTGTTTCAAGATATAGGAGAACAGACAAGCCTGGAACTCACTTGCCATATAAAACCTCACGAGATGCGTTGTCGACCCATTTAAGCGTTGGGTATTCGGAATTTCAAAAGCCTGAAACCGAAACGCGATTGTACTACACGTCCTTTTTATCTGTGGACGGTGATCGAGACACGGACGAAATATATATATATTCTACTTACCAATGTAATGTTTAGATTTTTATTATATATATAGAGGGCATTGAACCTGACCAGTTGATTATTAGCCATAAATACTATCATGGGGTCGACAATCCTATTTGCTGCTGGGAGTTGAATACCTCAAGGTGGCACTGGCTTACAACCTGCATATATGCAGACGTCCTGATTTCGACCGGCCACCCCCTGGCTGTCGAAATCAGAGGGACAAGTCTGATCAAACTACTTTTCGGTAAATAAAGTTGATTAATGGAATGAGCACATCCCACGCCCCTATTGGGATTAACAAAACACTTTGTTTAGAACATTAATTGTAAGAAGGACAAGATTCAGGCGACGCACTTTTGATTACTAAAAATGACGTTTGTTCGATTGCCATAATGAAGCAAGGTGAATTGGGTCTTTACTGCATTTGAATTCTCAACCTATTAAATCATGTACTATATAATCTAACGACATTTTCCTCAGGGGTCAACTTCCAGGTTCCTGCCCATCAAATTGTTTCAATTTATTTTCGATTTTTAAATTCCATTAGGTACTTGAACGAACACTAGCAAGTCAAAATTGTATTTAATATTTTATTTATGTAATAGAGGCGGACTATTCTAGCTTCGCGTTCTCTAAAATCTACTAAAAACGCAATTAAACTTCACGGTTTTGTCATCTTTGGACGGTGGTTTGTGTCCCCGACGTTATTTCGATATTCCTACCGTCCATTTCATGTGCAGATTTTCCCAGAGAGTCTATAATCACGGCAGTTGCAAACCCACGGTATACATTGCCACCATGAAATAAACGAGCCAACTTTTATTTTTTTGGAGATCAATGATTAAACATTTTTTAGGTGTAAAAGATAAACAAACATATATTTGGATATAGCTAATAAAATTCTACGATGACACGGTAGCGCAATTGGTTCGAGCAGAGTGGTAGTTGCCGTGTTTTTTTTTACCTTTTTTTTTTTTTTAGTTTAGTAGGTGGTAGAAGTAGGTAAACATCTCTAGTATTTATGTATATTTTGTCACAAATTAGTAAAAGGTTCGTAACGTTTTCTTTCAAACTATAATCTTTACCTTCACAGGTCAGTGCGTCTAGTGCGCATAATCGGACGCCGCTTTGGCGAACTCCTTGTGAAATTGACTCAAGCCGGTCTCCGCCCAGAGAACATAGAACTGGTCGGAACGAGTCTTGGAGCGCATATAGCTAGCCACGCTGCGAAATACTACATTTCCGTCATTGGTAAGAAGCCATCACGCCTAACCGGTCTGGACCCAGCAGGACCCTGCTTCCGCGGCTTACCAGCTGAAGAGAAAGTGTCCCCCACTGACGCGGACCACGTAGACGTCCTCCACACGAACATAGACGGCTTCGGGATAGCTGAACGCCTCGGTCACGTAGACTTTTACGCAAACGGAGGAGAATACCAACCGGGTGATATCCCATATATCCCCTGTCTCGTCATATGTAGTCATTCCAGGTCTTTGTTGTACTGGTGGCAGGCGTTGGAGAATCCTAAGAGGTTTATTGGAGTCAAATGCGGTTCTATTCAAGAGGCGAGATCGGCTAACTGCTATAATAACACTGAGCTGAATTATCTAGGCCTGGACACGAATTTTAAGAGGTCAGGCATATTTTATTTGCCGACGAACAATGAGTTTCCGTACCATATGGGCAAAGAAGGTCTGAAGCCTGAGAATGAAATATACAAAGCTGTAAGTAGACGAATCAACGCGGATGACGATTTTAGGGCTGTTTGAATGAAATACACTAACAAAACTACTAATACTTTATTACGAGTAAAATAAACGATAGAATAATAAACTATAAATGTGTCTCCGCTGGAAAGTGAGGCCGTTTTGAATACACCAAATTAGAATAGTTTAAGAACGAACAAGATGAGATTTATAACATGTATTCGAATGAATTAAAAATTCGATTTATTCGTAGCCCTTACCGTGTAAGGCGTAATGCAAGATAACATAAGTCCTTCTGTATCTTTTAGTGTTCTGTGTAAAATATTAAATTTAGAAGCCGTAGCAAAACTTAATGCAGAGTAACGTTATTAGTAAGTGTTAATGTTAACTTGCATTTATAATAATTGTTAAGGACAAAGATTAGTTAACTGGTAAAGGGATAATTTAGTTTACGTGAGTAGTAAACATTTCAATAAAACACTTTTAACGGTTTAAAGCGCGATATATTAGTTAAACTTATTTGGTAATGATTTTTAACTTCGGTCCGACGTATCGGATGCTTTGCAGCAGCCGTGGTCACGGGGAGACACGCCTCCGTTAAAGTGTTTTATTTAAATGGTAAAAAGATTTCTCAATACATATGTGATTCGATTGATGGTCAAAATCATTTATCTCCGCGTGGTCCATGGACTAAATAACTAAAATTAAATCAGGTTTATTTAGGAATTCGACCGTGACCAAAAAAGGCGGATAATAATTACGCTAAGAACTAGTTATCAAGAGTTTAAGCAAATCTGTGATTTAGTTATAGATTAAATGTAAATAAATAAATAGAGAATTAAAATATATTGTTTTATTATCGCCCATTTAAAAGAAAATTCTATATTTCTTTTAACAATTTAATGTCCAGATTTTTGAAACGAAGTCTAACATAAAAAAACAAAAATACAATTTTAAGTGCATGTTAGAAATCGACCCTGCGACCCGCTTTTGTTATCATTGGACCAAACCCGTCGAAATATTTCTCTGTCAAAGAAGTTTGTGATTATTAAAATTGTGTTATATTACGAAATGTATATATAGCAAATTTATATTGTACATATTTTAATGTCTACAGCCCCAGGTGAACAGCCCCGGGTCCGAATCCCGGATTAGACATATAAATGTGTCTGTTCCATGGTACAGAATTATACCATTTGCGAATACATTTATGTGACTCGCTTATTTATGGTACAGATGAAAAATATGCAAAATATATTGATGAAATTGAACGAAGTTGTTTAATAAGAATTGTTTTGGATAGTTTTTAGGGTTCCCTTGTCAGGCTTAAGTTTTACTAAGCCTTACCGAAACATTGCCATCGGTTTATTACAACCGAAAAGAAATTTAATTTAATATATAAAAATAAGTGAACTTATTTTATTATATTGCGTGCCGGCAATACAAATGTTTAACTAATTATACCTTACGTTTTATCCGTCAATGATATTTTAAAATAAAATAAGACTCAATTCCTTTACACACGTCTTAACAATTCGTTATAGTATAACAACGACAACGAAAGTATAAAGTAAGAAAGCTTTACTTCAAATCTTTAACCGTTTAAAACGCGAAATATATAACATATATACCTAATAATGTTTGTAGTTTACGCGAGTGTTTTATTTCAATAATATATACTTACTAAGGCGGGGTGCTTTGCGGCAGCGTTTTTCAAAATCTTAAAGCTGGTTACTTTCTCAATTTGATTCGTGAATCTATCCTTTTTTTACAATTAGATCATGGGTTAGAATTAGTTGTCGATATCCGGATTGTAAGGGACAATTAGAGAAATACTGCGGAACCACCTATGAATAATTCAGTGCACAAAAAAAGCAATTGAGCGGTAATCCAGGGGTAGACCAACGAGGGAATACACCGGCTTTTAAATTAAAAACCCTCAGTTAATGAATTCAAAATGTTCAAATGGAATGGAACTTTTGCAGCCCTGTTTGCGTTTATTGCTGTTTTTATTTTTATTGACGAGAACGGTGTCATCCACAGATCATGTAACTAATTACACTAATAAATGCCACACCAGTTAAAAACTTAAGACTAAATTTACTACCAGTTCGCAAATCAAGGGCGTAGAACGAAAGAAACTGGCAAGAAACTCGCCGCCACTTTCTTTTACCAAGTTCTACAATCTTCACTTAATGAAAGCGCACTATGTATAGCTCCGATATGTTCTAGAACAAATATAAATTTAAAAATCAGAAAAATTTTGGACCTGGTAGGGGAACCCACGACCGGTTGATTTTATTAGCCATGCATTGCTACCATTAGACCAGCTTGTGTTAAAGAGAATACTATACATATATAATAGTCCCCTAAAAAGTCCCATCTGTTTCTTATCAAAGGATGTTTTCATACTCGTAATAAGAATACGTCACCGTTTGTCTGTGTATTGATTGAAGACCAATATGTTGAGCATATCTCATATTTATTTTCCTTGGAGACGTAATTTTATTGCGTTCTCACATTCTCTTTATATAATGTAATGTTTGCGTAGCATTTTGCGGATAAGTTTAAAATCTGATAAAAAGATGTACTCAACAATTAAAAGTTTGAAATTCAAGAAAATTTAGTCAACAAGGAAATTTTAATACGTAAACAATAAATCCCATTAAATTAAGTGTCTCAGGACACGTTAGGTTAGAGCCGCAGCACGAAACGCCGTAGACGCCAGTTCAAGCCCTGCCTATGTCGTATTTTTTTGTCAATTAAAATGGATTTTGAATGTATATAATGCCATAATTTAGAAAAACGTGGGAAAATAACAAAGTTTTCAAATATAATTATAATAATAGTTTAAACGAGAAAGTTTATTAAGATGTCTAGATTTCACACAAAATGTATAAGATTTTTTTTAGGACATACACAGAACGGAACTTCCCTTGTTATAAAAACCGAAGGAGGATACGGCGTCGATCTATTCTGGCTGGAACATTCAAAGCTACAAAGTGACACCGAAACGCGTTTACACTTCACGTCTCACGTCTTTACGTTTCATATGTAGACGGTGCTTCGATACCCAGGAAAAAAAATTCACACTAATTCTAGCATGTTTTAGTAAATTCATAAAATGAGTTTCAGAATTATCTCTTTCAATGTATCTATATACCTATGTCTTGTGTCGTAGTAGATGAAATAATATCGTTTTAGTGAACAAAAGCGGGGAAATTAATTCGGATTGCAGAAACTCCTGAGAGCCCCGGCGAGTTATTCGCAATAAAACTGTCTTGTAAATATGAACTATTCATAAGTTCATTATGTATGAATTTGCAATCCGAGTTTTAAGAGTTATGGCCGGGGATAAAATATTTTTATGCCCGTCCGTGAAAAAATAATTCCATTGTGTGTTGTGTTCCGAAGTTTGCACGGGAAGTTAAGGTCACAGGCTGTACTTCAATAAGATGAGATTCTTAAATGATTAACACTTTTACATGTCTAACGCGGGCTTAAGTGTTTGTTAGATCGCGCGATCTCAGGAACTGCTGGTGTTAATTGAAAACTTATGTTTGTGTACGTTACATTACCTATTTATCGAGGAAGGCTTTACGCTGTAAAATATCGGGCTTCGAACAATAGTAGTGAAGGAGCAGTGGAATGTGAATATTAATCTTTCGGGGATTCCGTTGCGTGTGCTGCAAACACGGTTCAGAATACGATAGATATATATAAATATTAATTTATTAATAACATGGCAAAAGAACGTTTGACAGGTCAGTTAGTAAGGTCTAATGGTAGGCTACTAATCATCGGGTCGTTCGAGGTTCGATCCCCACTAGGTCCAGTCATGTTGGACCTGGTGACGAAATTTATATTTTTTCGAAAACATGCCGGAACAGACGCACCATCTAATACGTTTTATTCTAAACATACAGGATTTCAAATATTACATATAAATATTTGAAAAATATTATTGTTAACAAAATAAACGACCAAATAATTCCCATTAGAAACCTTTAATCCCAGACAAAGTCATAAGTACCTGCAAAGAAAACCCACCTTTATTTGTAGACATTAGAATTCCTTATTTGGTAAAGAAAATCGTGTGATATAACACTGACAGTGATATTTTAATTTGGCCGTGCATTGAAGCGTAAAAGATAGACAGTAGGGGTGAAGGTGATATTGGCAATCGGAAAATCAGGGAAAGCTAAGAAAATTACTACGTGTTTAACGGAAATTCATTTTCTATCACGTCTAAGGTATAGTTATATAGACCGTTAGACTGTCTCTATAGCGTAAATGGATAAGCGTGTTTAACAATGGCGTGGTAAAACTGCAAAGGGGTTCAAAATTTGGGGAAACAGGAGATTGTTCCGGTCGGGCAGAATAGAAGTCTTATAAACTATTTGCATGTAAATACTGTCTGTAGTTTACACGAATAGTACACATTTAAACACAACACTTAAACGGTTTAAAACGCGATGTATATTAGTTAAAATTATTTAAATTACGGCCTGACGTTTGGCATCCTTTACAGCAGCCGTGGTCACAGTCCTCATGACCACTAACATATATCGCGTTTTAAACCGGTTAAAGTGTTTTATTTAAAACTTGTAATAAAACCGCCTGTAAATAAAACCAACCATTAAACGGACACAGAAATGTGTTTACCCCGTGCCCTACGAGATAAGTGAGATTTAACTTTATAGTCATTTATTATGTATTTAAAAATTTTTGTGTCTGTGTTACAGATTTCACTGCCCAAAGAAAATTATTTTTATTTTTTTTTAATTTTAAATCGGAATCTCTTAAGAGACTTGAAATACTTGTTTTTTGTTATGTTTCAACAAACATTATTTCAGGTGTATTAATAACACATTGTTATTTGTGATGTAAATTATACAATAAATACAATTCCAATAACGAAATGGATGAATGTAAAATCCATTTGTTGTTACAAAATCATATTTTTGAATGTAGGTCGCAAAAATTGTAACTCCATCATTACAGCGTTTACTGAAGCGAGAAACAAGATACGATTCTTACAAGACCTTTGAGAATCGATGGCT